AAAAATGTTAGGCCAAAGAGTCTCTTAAGCAATTTTCTGGCTTCACTGTCTTTGTGCTGTTATTTTATCCCATAAATTTTACAGGTCCTTTTTTCTTCCAATCAATGAGTTATTGCTTATAGAAATGCAAGTGAAATGAGCATCAATGATTAAGTTTGATTGTTGTTTGGTTGTAAATAGTATACTCTATATTAACTGTAACAACAAATCTTACCATTAAGCAACAAGTAGAAGCTGTCAATGGTCGTCTACTTCTTTCTATGACTCAATGTTTAGCGCTGATTTCCCTGTATCTTAGGTTAGGTGGATAAGTTCAAATTCATGGGTTTGTTTGCTTTCAGCTTTCATCATTATTGAGGGAAAGTTCATTGTTGACTTATCATATCATGGATGTGTTTTCTGTTAATGAACTAGGTGAAAGTTTGGAGCACAAAGCAGGAAGCCAGTGTTCTTAATATTGACATGAAAGCCAATATATGTTGCGTCAAGTATAATCCTGGATCTAGCAATTACATTGCGGTATGTGCATAAAGTTATTTTTTAAAAAGATGTCTGTTGTAAATCCTTGCAATTGATATAATACTTGATTGTCTCAGAGCAGTTCTTGCTGTATTCCTGTATGCTAATTTTGTGCAGTGCACTGTGCTAAACCATGCATCTTCTGAAATTCTGATATAGACAACGATTATTCTTGGTCACTTGTGTATTTGCTCGTATGCTGGTGCATCAAACAATTTGGATTGCCTTTGGTGATGGGAAAAGCAAATCGTGGATTGATTGAAGGGCTTGTTTAGTTCCGGAAGAAGTTTTACATTCTCCGTTCCAATTCTCTGGTTTTGTTTTCTAAAATTTTCTATAGAATATGCAATTAATTTTTAAGGTTGAAAAATAAATTTTTTGGAGATGGAAAATTTTAAAAAAAGAAGAGAGAAACATCTATAGTGTAGTTTAATTTTGATTTAAATGGGAAGGCTAACAGAATTGGAAAACCTTCTTTCCTAATTCTCAGGAAGAGAAATTGATAATTAGTTCTGTCAATTTCACAACAAAAGAAAATTTGTGTTTTACAAACAAAACTACAAAAGAGGAAACTATTTTTTTTTTAAATGCATTTTCTTTTTTTGAAATGTATTTAAGGAAAACTGAAGATTTTCCAAAACTAAACGCATCCTTAATGTTTGTAACTGCATTGTTTCAATTCTATGATAGATACTTTATGTTCACAAGGCCAGTAATTTAGAAGCATTTTGGAATTTGAAATCATGTTATATGCAAGTTTTCCTTAGTATTGACTGCTTCTATTAATCTCACTAGCTTGGGAAATGCTGAATTGTTACTGCCTTCCTTTTGTGTGGGAAAAAGAACGGAAAACCATGATATTTTGTGGGCATATGCAGGTTGGTTCAGCAGACCATCACATCCATTATTATGATTTAAGAAACATCAGTAGTCCACTCCATGTGTTCAGTGGGCACAAGAAAGCTGTCTCGTATGTGAAATTCTTGTCTGAAAATGAACTTGCTTCTGCCTCTACAGACAGCACACTAAGATTGTGGGATGTAAAGGAAAACTTGCCGGTGAGTAAATATGTTTATAATGGTTCAGCATTTCTTTTATGCCTTAATCCAGATAATTATTTTCATTTTGCTTGTATTGCTTTAAGTTCAAAAGCTCTAGTCTCTAAATCGATGCATTCAATAATATGGCTACTCGAAAAGTAGTGGAACTTGACCTAGCGTACGTTGTGAGAGGATGTAACATGCCATCTGTCAAGGTGGATCACTGTTGAAGGAGCAACCCTTAATAGTGGTAATGCATGATGTAGCAGAGCCATCTTGGTTGGTTTATAATTAAATAGTGAACCATGATAGTGGAATTACTTAATCTTAGCCTTCAAAACCAGGATTTAATGCATGGTTTGTAGCAGTAGACCAGTGATATGAGGTCTTTGTTACACAGTAACCTTACTACAGGAGCTCTGTTACAATTGATTAATGGTTTGTTTTGATGTAGAGGATCCACTATTATTGCAACTACCGAGCATAATGATACATGCTATTAACTATTGGGATAGCTACTTAATTATTCAAGAAAGCGAAGATTAGAGATAGAGATCAATTGTGGAAGAGATTTAGAAAGTCATAGATATATATTACACAAGAGTTTTTACAAAGGAAGTGGAGAAGAAATTCTTTGGGAGAATGCTATAAAATTTTCTTATGAAGGATTTTTTTCTTTTTTTTTTTTTGGTTGGG